TTTTGCGGTACGCGGGCCTCTCACTGTTGTGGCCTCTCCCGTTGCGGAGCACAGGCTCCGGACGCGCAGGCTCAGCGGCCATGGCTCACGGGCCCAGCCTCTCCGCGGCATGTGGGATCTTCCCACATGGGGGGCGCAAACCCGTGTCCCCTGCATCGGCAGGTGGACTCTCAGCCACTGCGCCACCAGGGAAGCCCTATAGTTCTTTTTTTAAAAAATATTTATTTATTATTTATTTGGTTGCACCAGGTCTTAGTTGCGGCAGGTGGGTTCCTTAGTTGTGGCACATGGGCTCCTTAGTTGCAGCTTGCAAGCTTCTTAGTTGCAGCTCGCTGGCTACTTAGTTGCAGCATGTGGGCTCCTTAGTTGTGGCATGTGAACTCTTAGTTGTGGCATGCATGTGGGATCTAGTTCGCTGACCAGGGATCAAACCGGGGCCCCCTGCATTGGGAGCACAGAGTCTTAACCACTGCACCACAGGGGAAGTCCTGATCCTCTGTACTTCTTATGTCAAATATTGGAGTCTTGTTCAAAGCCAGATTTGGCTGGCAAAGAATATTTTGCCTACCTTCTCTTAGCTTTCCAGAATGATTGTTGTTTAGCTTAAAAATATGTATGTCATGTATGATAAAATTATATTAAGGCTACGAATTGCTTTGAGTGTCATTCCCTTAATTGGGGTGACTTCAGCATTATCACCAAAGTACAGTTAGCAAACCTGTCTTCTGATTAAGGGTGACAGGGATCTTCCCTTTTCCTTAAATAGCCTTTTTCCTTTTTAAAGAAAAAGTATTAATTTTATAATGACATTATAGTCTTTTATCTTGGTCAAGAGCCATTGCTAAGAGCAGTGGTTTTATATGAGGATCTGAGACAAATCATTTAATATTCATAAGTACCAGAATAGATCCTCCATAGCTGACTTACTAAAACCCAAAGGTATGATATCTTTATAAAATGATTTTAGGCCATGACCTTCAAACTTTAGAATTCTTAAAAACAGCAGCATATCAGACAGTTCTTAGTTTTCATAAGGCCATTGAAATGGATAATGCTGAGTAATCTAATGGATTTCTGAAAGCATAGTGTGCTTTAGATACTGTTAAATCCATAAACATAACAGTCACTTAAGTGTGTATATTATATAATATTTGGTTAATTATATTATAACTCAAATCCTTTCAGAATATTTGTCTTTCAAGTGGAATGCCAAAAATATAACTGAAGTGCTTGTAAAAATAGAACCATCAGAAAAATACAGAAGTATAGTATATATTTTTTTAGATAATCTTAATATTTGGAGTTAGCTACAGATTCTGTCATATACATCATTTTATGAACCATGAAGTATCGTATTTCAGAAGCACTTATGTTTGAGATTGGTAATAAAACTAAATATCTGGGTTTAATATTACTGAATTGTTCTTTGATCCTTGTGTCCAATAAAAGCCTATATTGAATTTTTTAGTAGTTGCTTCATATAACATAAGTTGCCGCTCAGTGTAGCATAAGTAAAAATGTATTTGGAGCACATATGTATTTAATAATTAATTTTAAAATAATTTTTTTAATTAATTAATTAATCTTTGGCTGCGTTGGGTCTTCGTTGCTGCACCTGGGCTTTCTCTAGTTGTGGTGAGCGGGGGCTACTCTTCGTTTTGGTGCGCGGGCTTCTCATTGCGGTGGCTTCTCTTGTTGCAGAGCACAGGCTCTAGGTGCAAGGGCTTCAGTAGTTGTGACACACGGGCTCTAGAGCACAGGCTCAGTAGTTGTGGCACATGGGCTTAGTTGCTCTGTGGCATGTGGGATCTTCCTGGACCAGGGCTCAAAGCTGTGCCCCCTGCATTGGCAGGTGGATTCTTAACCACTGCGCCACCAGGGAAGTCCATATATGTATTTTATATCAAAGAGTTGTATTGGGTAGAGATCACAAAATCAATATTGAAAAGCATTTTTAAAAATGCAGCAAAATTTATTTGTTTAGATCTTCATACCTTGAGATGATCAAATTTAAAATTTTTTCATTTTTCACAACATTAAAAGTATCTCAGTCTTTGGTTGTTGATCATAATGGTGGAAGCTGGTTACTGACTTTTTTGGGGAGCGATCTTAAAGAAAAAAAGGTAATCTAGCTTCCTTAGATACAATTACTTAAGGGTAGATGGTTGCCCTTGAAATGCGATCATTTTTAAAGGAATTTGGAGTTATTTTATCTGCTGTCATGCGAAAAATAATCAAAAGGGTAATTTGTGTTTGATGAATCGAGACAAAAGCTTAGGGAAATACAATTTGTATGACTTGATGATAAAGGACATTTAATCAATCATTATTTGATACTGTTGTATTAAAAACTAAATTAAAATGTCCCTAGTTCTTATTTTTAATAATATGATTTGCAATATTGCTTTACCCAATGATACCTAGTTGAATACAACCATAGCCTGATTAGAACTGTTTTAAATTTTATTTTAAAATTATCATATGGTAGAATTGATCTTTTTGGGGGGAGTGGGTGTGCAGTTCCATGAATCTTAACACATGTATAGATTCATGTAACCACCAGCACAATCAGAATATAGAACAGTTTGTTTGCCTCCCCAAACTCCCTCATACTATCCCTGTATAGTCACACCCTGCCTGTACCCCAACCTCTGGCAACCACTGATCTGTTCTCTATCACTATAGATTTTTTTTTTTCCAGAAAGTCATATATATAGAATAATGCAGATGGAACCTTTTGAAATTGACTTCTTTTACTCAACAAAATGCCATTGAGATTCACTGAGGTTGTAGATATCACTAGTTCATTTCTTTTTATTGCTACATTGTTGGTTGAAATTTTATGGCATTGGATATTATTTCTGATCTGATATACTAGGACTGAAGTTTGAATTGGTTACTTTTTAAAATAATGAATATTTTTTCAAATCAGTTAAATGAGATACATACGTAGTTAATTTTTTGAATTGGAATTTGTTTTCAAACTGAACATTTTTTCAGTTCAGTTTAGCGACCTGCATGTATAGATAGCTAAGCTAGGCAGTTACAGGGTTTACATTTCTCTGGAAGTTCTTGTTGTTTTATTGGGCTAAGAGTTTTAAGGGCAAAATTTGAGGTTAAAAAATATATTTTGCAGGTTTATGAGAGAAATAAAGTGACCTATGACCCTTTAAAATTTCAGTGCCAATGACTTGACAGAATTTTCTTTGCTTTTATTCCAAGCCTCTCCCACCCTGACTTTCTGGTCTACTGAGAACCAGACACCTCTGGTGCCTGATAATCTGTTTTAATGTGCTTGTTCCAAGAGTGGCCTCTTATTTGTTGGTTATAACAGTCTGTTCATTTTAACATAGTCACGCTTATATGCGTAAATTATTTGCATCATAAATTTAGTTTGATTCTTTATCTTCATAGCTGTTTCCTTTCCTTGTTGATTGAGGATTTAATGGTTTTATCATTTCCCCAGCTGCTGAAAATCTCAAGGAGGTCTCCTGATAATTGTATGTTCTTGGTGAGAAAATAGGGGTGGATCCATTATCAATGTGAACTGGATAAATCTATACCATGTCACCAATTGAAAGAATGGATTAACAGTAGTAAGAATGGAGTGTTCTTCAAAATCAAAAAATAATAAACAATCATTTATTAGTTAGTATATTATATCTTGAAGATGAAACTTGTTCTGTTTTCACTGACAACCTACCTGGTAATAGAAGTTAGAGACATAGATTTATAACCTGATCATTGAATAAATATTTATACCTCAACTTTCTAAAATAAGCTACTCAAATTAACTTTTGACTTCCACACTTAATTATTTTCATGATTTGGGTTCTAATCTCACTTTTAATAGGAGCATTAGCAGAAGTGCCAAGGAAAAAAATATCAGCAACCTGGCTTTGGCCACAATTAAAAGATTTTTTGATGTGGACCATTTTTAGATACCATTGGATAGATTTGCTTCCATAGATGAGAGCAGTGGTGAAAGCAATACATACCAACTTCTCTATTGGCTCTTTCCTTAGATTTTAACATTTGAGACCAAGAATCCGACGGAATTAGCAGAACGTTTGCGCTCTGTTTGTGGGAATCAGAGCAATGCGTATGCCCGCTTGCTGGAATACCGCCTGAATGCCTTGAGAGGACTGTGGAATGCCCAGCGCCAGCTGGCCTTGGAAGAACAGCATGAAAGGGAAAGTTCGGGTGACGAAGAAACTTTGGCCCTGCTCAAACGCCAGGGCTTGTTGCAGCAACCCGAGCAAGCTCCCTTCACATCAAGGATGGGGCTCCTGCTGGTCTTCCCCCTTATTCAGTCCCAGAGTAGAACAGACCCCTCTCTCTGTAACATAACTGCTGAGGTGCTATTGAACTGCCTTCGCGACTGCCAGCCTTTGAGCTTGACCAAGGAGCCTGCTGACTGTCTGAATGGAATCGAAACTTTGCTGTGCTCTTGGCTAGAGGAGACTTCTGACACAGGCCGACACATCCCACATAAGCAAAAAGAAAATGCTGCTGCTGCCCTGGTGGCTTTGGCATGCGCCAGGTAAGGAAAATCAAAGGTGCCAACTGGTGACCTTGTGATGGCTGCTTCCTGGGTTGGGTGAGTGAATAAGAGGCCAAGCGTATTTGTTGGAAGTCTTAACATTCAGAAGTCCTTCTTCGTTTTCAGTATTGAATTTCACAGCCTTGACAATGCATAAGATGCTTCCACCAAAACTTGGTACCAGGAGCTGGAGTTGAAACCCAAGTTCAAGTTTTTGCTTTCTGTTATACCATGAAAACAGCTTAAACAGTTTAAAATGGAGAATCAACACTTGCCATTGTCTACTCACCCTTAGATGGTTACTGTTTTACATCAGGTAGTTAGTAGAGGATGTTGTATCCGTATTTCTCCTGGAAGGACAGTCAAAAAGTATGTAGAGCTTTTAATTTTTTTTCCTGCATGTCTGTAAGGAGTATGTCAGTGAGTGAATGGGTTATTACTCACCTGGACTCAGTCACACAGACTTGGTCACAAATTATATTTCTGGACCTTGACGCTTGGCTCCATCAATTTAACTGAAAGATCTCTCTGTGTGTAGCAAGATTTAATAGTGTACTGTCCTTCATTTGTAAGTTGATGTTACTGATGTACTGTCAATAGGAAATGTGCTTGGAGTTACTTTTCCAGGAGAGGATTTCTTACATTCTCCTGCCCAGTAAACTGTATGATCACTCTCACATATTTGTGAGAAAAAGTTTCACTACCTTTGCTTTCTTCTAACCTAATTGTCTAGGGACCAATTAGGACCACCGTCTGATAGATTAGTGTCACTAATCTCTCTCCCTTCATAATTTTTTCTTTGATTGAGTTATTCCTTTTGTTAGCAAAGAGAATGTGGAAAAGTTCTTCTTGGAGGATTATGAAGTTCCTAGCTATAAGACTCCTTTCCCTATTTTTATGGTTTCAAAGTTGACCTTCAAATGGTTGAATCTGAAGCTATTTTTAAGGCACAATGGCACCAGCATTTATTGTCAGTTTCTTTGCCCTGAGCAAACTGTCATAGCCTAGTTTTAGATCCTTGAAGACTGTGGTTGATTATGGAAATCCTGACATGAGCTTAATTCTGGAGACATTATTGGGTGGTACTGAAATAAGTTTCCCTGTAAAGGCTTTATGTTGGACTGATTTATTTTTTTTGGATATGCAGAAGACAGTTTTGAGCCCTAAATAGATTTGTTATTAATGCAAAAGTCCTACTTTGGGAAATTTTGCTTTTAGATAGTCCTATCTTTAGACAGATTTAGGATGTTTGGAATAATTATCAACTCTTTAGTCTCAGATGTTTTTAATGAACATGGGATCATAAAACTCACTTTTTTATTATGTACCCTAATTTAGTCTGAACCAAGAGAGAGTTATTGAAATCGCTTCATGTACTTGAGATTCCAAATTCCGTTCAGCAGAAACGTTGAAATGAGTGTTTTTTATTTTCTTCTTCTTGGGTGTGTTTTTTGTTTTTGTTTTAGATGGTGCCTACATTATTGCTAATATTGTCACCTTGTTCTGAACTTTATTTACCTCAGTCACGTGCTTTTCAGTGTTAGATCATCTCCTTTAATGAAGTTATTTAGGAGCATATTATTGAACTTTTGAGACTGATGCTCTCAAAGACAGAACAGCATTTCCAAAAAAACATTTTGAAGATGTTCATTCATTTCAACCAACTAACATTTATCAAACATATCTGATGTGCCAGGAACCTTGCTAGGTCTTAGGGAAATAATGACTCATGGTGACTCATGGTCTCTAATCTTACAGTTGAGTGGATTTCATTTTGTCAGTCATTATTGCTCATTTACCATGTGCAAGAGACTCTACTAGGCAGTGCGGATACAGCAGTGAGCAAGGTAAATGGTCCCTAAAATTGCAAGGTTTACATGAGACTGAGAGAGTCAGACAACTAGCAACAAATGCATATGTAAGATAATTTCTGAGAGGGATGTTCACTGTAAGAAGACAAATCAGGATATTTTAATAATAGAGAATGACTTAAGTGGAGGTGGGGGCCAGCATTAGCTAGAGATACCAGGGAAGGCCTTACTGAATAGGAGACATTTGAGCTGAGGCCTAGATGATGAGAGAGAGCCAGCCATGCAAAAAAGCCAGTGACATGGAGTTCCAGGCAAGAGGAGCAGCAAGTGTCACAAATCTGATCCTCTTTCTGTGCTTGGGGTAGGACAGCAAAGTGAGCAGGGTGGCTGGAATGCAATGGTAGAAGGAGAGAGGCAGGAGATGAGAGTCCAGACCGTGTAGGGGCTTAGGAGCCATGGAAGGAGTTTGCATTTTACTATTTATTTATTTATTTAGGCTGTGCCAGGTTTTAGTTGCAGAATGAAGGACGTTTTTAGTTGCAGCATGTAGACATAGTTGCAGCATGCATGTGGGATCTAGTTCCCTGACTAGGGATTGAAGCCGGGCCCCCTGCATTGGGAGCATGGAGTCTTACCCACTGGACCACCAGGGAAGTCCCTAAATTTTACTCTTAAAATCTGAATCTGGCAGCTAATAATATCTTATAGTTGGTTTAATGTTTTAAATGTTCCATTGTGCCTTTGCCCCTTTCTTTTAACCTCGTTGTACCCCAGGGAGGTATCCTTATTGGACAGATGAAGAAGTAAAAACCCACAGGAATTTGGTAACAGGACTGAGACGATGCCGCTGGTGAGTGGCAGAGCCGGGTTTCAGAGCCTGTGGGTCCTGACTCCCAACTTGTGCTTTTATACTGTGTCTGCTGCCTCCCTGCCTTATATGGTTCTTTGGTTTTGATTCTTTGAACACCAGAGATAGTGAAAGGGGCAATTAAAAGGAGGACTTGGGCTTCCCTGGTGGCGCAGTGGTTAAGAATTCGCCTGCCAATGCAGGAGACACGGGTTCGAGCTCTGGTCCGGGAAGATCCCACATGCTGTGGAACAACTAAGCCCGTGTGCCACAACTACTGAAGCCTGTGCGCCTAGAGCCCGTGCTCCCAACGAGAGAACTGACCACAATGAGAAGCCTGCACACCACAACCAAGAGCAGCCCCCGCTTGCTGCAACCAGAGAAAAGCCCACGTGCAGCAACAAAGACCCAACGCAGCCAAAAATAAAAAATAAATAAAATTAAAAAAAAAAGAAAAAGAGGAGAACTCTAGGCCTTCTTGGACCTGTGTTAGGTATTCCATTTCTTTTTGGGGTTTAGGCACATGATACCTAGCAATTAAAGACTTGGCTAAGAGAATAAGGTAGCAATCTGAAGTCAGCCCATCTGATACTGGCGATCATTTAGCTCAGGAAATATTCTTGTGGTGATTTATACTTGGGATCTGGCCAGGTAAGTCTTGTGCATCTTAAAATCACCTTCTTTTAGATCCTGCTGACCAAAGTATAGACTTCCCAGAGCCTCTAGCTTTGGGAACCAAAAGGAAATTGGGTCTTAGTGAGCTCTGCAAGCATTACAGTCACATACTGCACAGCAGGGGGAAGCAGAAGGAACACCTCTCAGCACAAAGTATTAATTATTTGAATGTTTTCCTCTTCAGTCATATTTAATGTGTGAGATGTTTATGTAAAATGGATGAACTTAAAGAGATTAAGAAATTAAGCCTAGAAATACTGCTACACTTTTAAATATAACCTTTTCCTATGAAATATCTCCTTCAGCTAGAGATCAACTTGATGATGAAACAGTATCAGGCATAATAGCCACACATTCTTTGTGCTTGAGCTTTATGTTTTGAACTTTTATGTTAGGGGAACATTATTTACCTTTGCAAATACAAGAAGAATATCATAACTGGCATTGTAAGAATCGCGTCTATTTTGACATTTTGTACAACACATCTACTGATTGGCAGAAGCAGACTCAATTTGGAAGCTCTCCGTGTGGTTAATAAAATTGACATTAACAACATTAACAACCTTATTTTACGTTTCAGTTGTGATGATTTTCTGTTCCTTCCTTTTATTTTTAGGGGGTCATTGAAAACTTTTGTTCATACAGTCCATCTATTACAGAAGCAGACAGATCTAGGGTCCCTGCCTGTAGCCGATGTGCTGTATAGGTAAGTTGTCACTTTGGATCCTCACCCTCCTTCTACACAAGGGAGCCTTGTGCATAAAAGCTCTTTTAATAAGTAAATTGCTAAACTCTTTTTTTTTTTTTATCAATTAATGACTCATTTTTAAATAAGTATGTTATTCTTTTCATCTTAAGTAAGAATTTTGTTTCTTCTTGGAAGGTGTTCCTAGAGCATGTTTTTTTTCATTTTTTAATTTTTGTGGTAAAAAAAATGCAGTAGCTTGTCATGAATTCTTATTGTAGGTTTCAAGATAGTAAGATGTTAAGGTATAAAGAAAAAAGTGAAAGTCATTCATAATCTCACTACTCAAAGATAACCACTCCTAATGTTGTATGTGCTATATGTGTTTCCTAGTTCATACCCCTTTCTCTCCATCCCTCCCCTTCTCTCTATCTCTATCTCAGATATGTATACATGTAAAATATATACATTTTACACACAGCTACAATTTTATTATATTTCCATAAGCACTGCTTCGTAATTTTCTAATTTAAAAATATACGTATTGTTAATGTCTTTTCAGATGTATAGTATTTGTGTAGAACTATTTTAGTTTTCTGCTCTTTGAGATGTTAAGTAGACTTTTATCTTCTTGCTGAAATGGATAGTCTCGGTGTCTTTATGATTCTCTGTTTCCCCTATTTAGGCTGTTGCTTTTGGAAGGGGGACCTGGATCCCCCTCCTGTTTGCTTGGTGGCAAACACATAGTATCATGGGGGTATGAAGACATGTTGCCTGCACCAGATAGCAACACTGGCTCCAGTTCTGAAAATAAAGGTAATGCAAGGGTTTTGGACCTGTGATTGAAATTAAGATATGAAAAGAGTGGTTTTAGATAATTGTGGAAAACGATTTAGATATAACTCTGTATTCCCTTTAATTAAGAGCTCAAGGTTCCTATACAGGGTAATCATTGTCTGCTTTATCAGTAAAAGTATAAAAGCTGATACTCAGTGAGGTAAGAAAATGGATAGGTTTTACTATCGCAAGGGAAAAGGATCATCCATACACTCCTGCCAAGAAGGCATGAATTACTTAAATTCCTAGGTATTTGAATTTGGGCATGGGAGCCTTAAGTCCACGAATAGAGTATCAGGTCTTGTTGCCTGATGCTGTTTCTTTTAGTAATTTATTGTGTGTGTGTTGGTGAACCTCCTGTCCTACAAGCAAAAAAAAAAAAAAAAAAAAAAAGAGATTGTTCAAAGGAGCATGAATTAAGTATCCCCTTTAAATAAAGGGGACTAGATTAAAATGTTTCTACAGTTTTACAGGTATTACATATCTGTTTAGTCTGTGATCTCAGTGAAAATGGCAGAAGGTCTCTGAAATGACCTGCAGTTAACTGACTTACCAGGCCTCTCTTCACTTGGTAGATGTACTGACCGGTGCCGTGGCACACAAAACCCATGTGGCCAGTAGGCTCTTCTTAGAGTCTGTGCATTGCTGCTCCCACCTATGGAGTTGCAGGCTTGCCAAGAGTCTGCCTTGCTTCCAAACCTGTTTGTTATTGTAATTGGTACTTGTGATTATATCATTAAATATTACATAAGTGATAAAATAGGAATTTAAAAAACCCTAGGGAATTATTTACATTTAGAAATGGAAGGCTTTTAGGGCTTCCCTGGTGGCGCAGTGGTTAAGAATCCGCCTGCCAATGCAGGGGACATGGGTTCGAGCCCTGGTCTGGGAAGATCCCACATGCCGCGGAGCAAGTAAGCCCGTGTGCCACCAACTACTGAAGCCCGTGCTCCTAGAGCCCATGTTCTGCAACAAGAGAAACCACCGCAATGAGAAGCCCATGCACCGCAATGAAGAGTAGCCCCCACTCACCGCAACTAGAGAAAGCCTGTGTGCAGCAACGAACACCCAACACAGCCAAAAAAAATTTAAATAAATTAATTTTTTTAAAAAATGGAATGCTTTAGAATGATTCAACAAAGCCAATCTCTAAGAAATTGGTATTCTCTAAGAAATTAGAGTGGGATTCATAGTCTATTCTGCCCACCCCTTCTCACACTTTTGATGGGGACAGCTTTCCTAGGTAACTGTAAGGGAATGGGGTTCAGTCTAAGCAGTGGGCCATCCCCACACCTCTCATCCAGTGCCTGTGCCTTTTCACGGTCCACTGTTTCTTCCAGACAGTCATGTGAAAGTGGTGAGAGGAACAGAGGCAAGACTTCCGGATGTGAGTTACTATCTTCACTGACTCAACTAGAGTCAATAGAAGAAGCAAAAAGCCTCCAATGCCCAAGAAGTTCTTAAACATTATAGGTGGAAATTTATAAATTCATACAAAACCAAAACTCCTTTCTTTACTCTCTCCTTTTACTCCTTTTAGTATCTCCTTTGGAGTAATTTCTTACTGAGGATGATGGTATTAAGCTGATCTGTATGCTTTTCACTCTCTTGTACCTTTGGTTTTGCTCCTGGCTAGAGAATGTTTTTCTTATAAAAATTTAGAAAGTATTCTTATTTAATTTTTAATATGTGGAAACATTCAACATACCCAGATGTTGAAAGCATACTACAGTAAACCCTGTATACCCATCACTCAGCTTCAACAAGTGTCAACTCCGGCCAATCTTGTTTTACTCTGTCACCTTCACTCTCACTTCTTGTCAGATCCATACTCAAAAGGCCTTGGCCTTAATCTAAAGAGTGATGAATAAATGTATATTTATAAGTTTTAAGTTAAAATAAAATGTTTAAGGAATGAAATTAATATTTTGAAAATGATTACCTACTTTTAACTGTTTTCTGAAGAACTAATAGGAACAAGTCTCGGTTATCTTGGATTAGTAGACTGAATTTTTAAGATAACCACATACTTAGTACTAGTTTGAGTGCTATTACACTGGATTTCTTATAATATGGCAAATAGTAGAGAAACTCCACTTAAACATAGTAAGTGGATTGATTTTGAAAATAAAAACAAAGTTTTATTTGTAAGCTCTCTTATTAAGGTAAATTCTCTAGAATATGTTAGTAAACCATTTACTATCATTCAGAGAGATACTATTTGTTTTAAGCTTGGGGAAGATATACCTAAGGGTAAACACACTTGCTCTTTTTAAATAGAAGTGATATTATACTTTCGTGCTGTGTCACTCCAGAAATTTAAATTTAGGATCTCTAGATGGAAAATCCACAAGGAGTAGATTTTAGTTCAATGTATGTCATCAGTCTATCAACATAAAATCATTTGCCATTCATGGGGCCCTGGCTTTGTACCAGAGAGCAGTGTGGGTGTTTACCTATGTTGTCTCATTTAACCATCACAGTAACTCTTGAGGTACATATTATCTTCATCTTACAGATGAAGAAACTGAAGTTCAAAGAGGCCCAAGGTCAACTAATAAGTGCCCCAAACTCTTAAATCTCACACCTTTTTTATTACACAATCCTTAGCGAAAGTATTGTATGCTTAGTCATTTCAGATTGGAGTTAGGAATGTATTTTTGCTATTCAAAAAAAAAAAAAAGAAAGAAAGAAAAAAAATCTTTGGCAGAGACTGAACCAGGTTCTCCTGCTAATAACTATCTGACCTCTTTTCCTGATCTTGGTTTCTAATCCTACATGCATTTTGGAGTTTTGTTTTAGGTGTTCAAGCCATCTTCCCTGGAAGTCACATTGAAGCACTTACTTTATTATTTTTATTTCTGGAAGTACTGTGCAGCTTGCAGGGATCTTAGTTCCCCGACCAGGGATCGAACCTGGGGCCCGGCAGTGAGAGCACTGAGTCCTAACCCACTGGACTGCCAGGGAATTCCCAAGAAGCACTTACTTAAGAAATGGGAGATTATCTCTCATTCAGCCTCCTAATGGCTTTTTCATTCGAAAAAGCACGTTTATAATTTCATTAGAAAAAGCATGTATATAATTTACTTGTGAAAAAACGATTTCAGATGCTGACTTGGGACGCTGTGTCACAGCAGATGGTCTTTACCTGTATACTACTAACTCAGTTGGAAGAGGAGTAAGCAAATTGGGGTCTGGATTACATGGTACTCTCAGGTCAGTTGCATGGAACTTGCTGAATGATTTGGCTGGAACGTTTACCTCATTACCTAAATCTGTGATGAAGACACCGGGGAGTGCGTGCTAACTCCCCATAGACTGACGAGTGACTAAACAAGTCTGAATGACTGGTTTTCTCTTATTGTCACTTTCTCTCTCTGGTTCTGTTAATGCATTTCAGCTTTGTTTTGACTCTATAAAGAGTTTGGTAGCCCTAAAATCATTGTTTCTAGCTTCTAGCCAGAAATTCCTCTGTGATCAGAATTTTTATATTAGTGACTTCTCCATGTTGATAAATGGGTATTTTTCGAGTTAAGTCTTTCTGTTCTTGGATTTGACATTGGATCAGTGGTGATTTTTTTTTTTTTTCAGTTGGGATATAAGATCTATGAATTGCTGCCAAAAGAAACCACAGTTTAAGATCCTTATGTATATTTAATTAGACCGTTTCCCCAACTTTTTCTCCTCTCCAATTTGTTGTGGGAAATTAATATTTGCCATAGTTTGTCAGTCTCAAAGTTAATATAATATGTTTATTCTCCTTCAGATGTTTTGCATACTTAGTCATTGAAAAGAAATTAGGAGGGAAATGTTGTTTTGTCTGTTGTAGCTCATTGCAGGGTTTCAGACATGACCTGGTGACTTAGCCTGTATACCGTTTTTCCCCACAGAGGTTTTGTGTACTGCCGGAATGAGGAGCTGGAACCAGGATGGATTGCTTTTGGCAGTGGCAGTCTTCTCCACCGGCCTGTAACTTTTGACAATAAACCTCACTCTCTTTTCCAGGTCATTGACCAGAATACGCTTCAGGTAAACAGAACACCAAGGCTTTGTGTTTTATCTTTTGGCGACAGTAAGGGAAGTTTGTGACATCATCAGAGGGAATAATAACACAGTTGATATAGTTTCCTGCCGGAGTGACATCCTTTTAACTGTCATCGTTTGGGTATTCTGTTTTTTCTCTAATGTCTTAAGTTTTCCCACATGATCTGAGTGAATGTGCTCTCTAGGAGTTACTAAGGCCAACAAACTTTTTTTAGGATTAAAAAAATTTTAGAGAGTCAAAGATGGTATAAATCGCAGCTTTTTTTTTTTTTTTTTTTAACTAGATCTATTTTGGGAAGGCATTATTTCCCTATTCAACTTGTTCTAAACAGTCTTTCTGTGGGAATGGGAGCTTTGAAATGAGTTTAGATAAAATCATTGTGCGCTTGGGATTGAGCTCATCCTTGGTGCTCTTAAAGCACTCTGTTATGGCACTTGCTATATTATACTGAAATCGCCTGCTGTTGTGTCGAACTCCTCCCCAAGACCACACACACACCTTTAGGTCAGGACCCTGTCTTACTCATCTTTGTGTCCTTAGAATGTAGCACATTTGATTGATAATTGATAATAACAGTGTCTCTCTTTGCCAGGCTGTGGGTTTGGCAGTTTACATACACTTCCTCTCCTTATCTGTGAGGTGTGACTATGGCAGTTTCATCTTACAGTTAAGGCACCTGAGGCTAGGCACGTTGTAAGCACTCAGTAAGTGTTTGTCCTTCAATGAAGGAGTGAGGTTAGGTTAAGTATCTTGCCACACAATAATGGCAGCATGAGAACTTGAACCCATCTGCTCTAGAGTTTGAGCTCTTTATGCTACAACTTTCTGCCTTTCAACCAAAGTCAAACTGAACGGTTAGAGTTACTATCTGTGGAGTGAGTGCCCTGAGAGTAGTCACATCCAGGACTTAAGTGGGATGTTACATCTGTTCTTGTCTGTCACTCAACTGTGCCTTTCCTGGAGAACAGTCTTGCTCACCTTTGCATCTGCAGAGCACATAGGAGGTGCTCAAAAATTGTTTTTTTAAAAAAATTTTATTTATTTTATTTTTGTCTGTGTTGGGTTTTTGTTGCTGCGCGCGGGCTTTCTCTAGCTGTGGCGAAGGGGAGCTACTCTTCCTTGCGGAGCGCGGGCTTCTCATTGCAGTGGCTTCTCTTGTTGCGGAGCACGGGCTCTAGATGCGCAGGCTTCAGTAGTTGCAGCATGCGGGCTTGGTAGTTGTGGCTCACGGGCTTTAGAGCGCAGGCTCAGTAGTTGTGGCGCATGGGCTTAGCTGCTCCGCGGTATGTGGGATCTTCCTGGACCAGGGCTCGAACCTGTGTCCCCTGCGCTGGCAGGCGGATTCTTAACCACTGCACCACAATGGAAGCCCTCAAAAATTGTTAGATGAATAAAATAACAAATAGATGCCAAATTAACTTCATATTTTATCAGTAATGCAGATAGATGAGAACATTGCCTGTTCTCATTTGAACAGGCAATTTGAAATAGCCTGGGGACTTAAACAGAAGTTAAATCTTGGAACCTGGTTTACATTTGAAGTAATGTCAGTATCCTCTGTGTTTTTGCAAAAACTTTGTTGCCCAAGAAACAGTGTTCTCACTAACTAGATAGGTGCATTGGAACAATTTGTGGGTAGCTTAAGCCATTCAGTAGCTGTCAACTTTCTAGATTTCTTGACATTACAGATTTCAAAGTGTGGTTATAGCAACTAAATGACTTTTTAAACTTTTGAGGTAGCAAAAACAAGTCTGGAAAAAAGTTCATATGAAATGAGTTCAGGGGTCTAAAGTAACCTTAGGAAAACTAGTGACCCACCCAAAGAGGTGGAGTAACTGAAGGTCATTCTTACTGTCTCCTAAAGGCACCTGACCTTCTCTAATTATTTTTATTTGGGGATTTTCAATTCTGTTTCTATTCTTGGATTTTTTTTTTTTTTTTTAAACCTAGTCAGCAGTTCTCTTGATTCTCATTTTCTCTTATTTTAAGTGCTTTTCTCTGGCAGTAAAAATTAGTATATAACTGCACATTTAATATGAAATATGCAGAACTTATTCATTACACTGAAACTGAAAGATGTTTAGTATTAGAAACACATGCTTCATGTCTAATACAGAGAATGGGTGTTTGTCTTTTTCCTCCTGCTGATCGTGGTGAATTTCAGTAAGCCCTCATGTGCTAAGTTAGGATCTGTGTGTACCTTCATCTCTTTACTCCTTCTCCCTCTTCTCTGCTTTCCCTTTTGTTTTTTTCTCACCTTTGCTTTTTTCCTTCCTTCCATAATTATTAATTTCTGAGTTAGACTCTGAATTAGGTGCTGGGAATATAAAGGTGAATAAGATATGGTTCCTGTCCTTTAAATATACTTAAGCCTTAAATTTATATACTAAGGGAATTTCAGAAAGTACTGTTTCTCTAAAACTTTGGTTTTTTCTTTTTTTTAACATCTTTATTGGAGTATAATTGCTTTACAGTGTTGTGTTAGTTTTTGCTGTATAACAAAGTGAATCAGCTATATGTATACATATATCCCCATATCCCCTAAAAAACTTTGTTTTTAATAAATGTTTGATTAAACACATATGCATAGCAGATTCAAAGTGTTTAGTAATACTTTTTCCTATTAAAATTGTAATTTGAATTAATCTCAGGAATCTTTTAATCTATTGCATGGCCCATTGTATGAACTCTTATATTTCTGTCATATAATTTTCATATATTATTCTTAGAGATAAATGTCAGTTTTATTTTGACCAGGAGGCCTATTGAATTCTCTCCTTGGACTTAATGGCATTAATGATGAACTGATAGAATCAGAATTTACATGTCACACTAATGAAGTTTTCCTCCCTTTCATGTCCAGGTGTGCCAGATGGTGCCAACGCCAGCCAATCACCTCCCTGTGGGCAGCACTATGAGCACCGTGCACCTTTCTTCAGATGGTACTTACTTCTATTGGATCTGGTCTCCTGCCAGTCTGAATGAGAAAACACCTAAGGGACATTCTGTCTTCATGGACATTTTTGAACTTGTGGTAAGTTTCACTTTCTCATTTTATGTCTTTGCAGAGACATTTTTTACTTGCTTTCTTTTTATAATTGGTTTACAAAGGACCTAAGAAACTTGGAGTACTTGTACAGTGTGTTCACTCTTGCCTCAAAATTGACTTCTCTCTTGGATGTCTTTGAAGATTTCTTTGTTTGGAGTTGTATGACACAAATAAAGGCAAGGTTTTTGAAGGTTAATCTAGCAACAGAGTGGAGATAAGGATAGTTAATGTGTAGACAGTGGGCTTTTAAGTAGAAATGCTCATAAGCTTGTTGGAAATTTGGAACTGAAAATTGCACCAGCAAGATTGGGTCTACAGATGGATATTGGGAGTCCCCAAGAGAGATGACAGTTGATATTGTGAGAAGGCCGTCATTCATTCATTCATTAGATATCGGCTAAGTATCTACTGAGAACCAGGCATGGTGGTATCTAGGTGGTGGGAATACAGTGATGGGCAAGGGGGACAGGACCCTTGCTCAAATGGAGCTTGAATTTTGGCTGGTGGGTGGGTTGAGTTGTGGCGGTGGTGGAGAGACAAAACATTAACCATAAGTGAACAGATATGTGGACAACATAATTTGAGGTAGTGAAGGAAAAGTGGTAGCTAACCAGGTGAAGAAGTTGGGGAATAGGGAGGAAAGAACATGGTAGGAAAGGGAGACCACAAATGGAAAAGCTCTGTGGAGGGAGCGAGCATGTGTTTTATGGGAAATGACAGCGGGCCAGAGTGCTTGAGTGCAGAGAGAAGAGCTTGGGGCAAGGAGAGACTGGAAACCATGATGGTCCAGATCTGCACTGTCTAATATAATAGCTAGTAGCCACATGTGGCTATTTAAATTAATCAGAATTAAATACAATTAAAACTTTAGTTGCTCAGTTGCATTAGCCACGTTTCAAGTCCTCAGTAGCCACATGTGGCAGGCTAGTGGCTACCATGTTGAACATCAAAGATAGAGAACATTTCCATCATTGAAGAAAGGTCTGTTGGACAGCACTGGTCTAGATAATATTTGTAGAGACTTGTAAAGAAAAAATTGCCCCAAGCCAGGTCTGTGACAAAACCTTTTTACATAATGTAATTTACAGCCTCCTTCTGGGAAGAAATTAGCATTCCTGAAGGAAAAAAAAAAAAAACACTGAAGCAATTTCTGATAAACTTTAATGGGGTTAAAACTTGTTCTGGGAAAGAAGTCATCCATCCTGCCAGTTAACTGTCAGTCTAGTAACCTTTAACTGTACATTCTTTTTTTTTTTTTCTATCTAGTTTCTCAAATCATTATCTTTTCTTATAAAACGTCTTAGCCAGAGTGAGTCTTTGAATTGATCTGCTAGAGACTGTACTACTAGAAGATGTGTTCATAATTAAATTGTTAGAAATGCCTTTTTTAAAAAGTTGTTTTTAAACAGACCTAATGAGCTAGTTAAAAGATTTAGGTCTTTGTCCTAAGAATAATGGGAAAACATCAAAGAATTCCCCTTTCCCTTATATGCTTTTGTTAAATTAAAAAATATCTATATCAAAGAAAAACCTGTACATGGATTAAAACGTGAGGTAGCACATCTAGGCTCATAATGAAAAGTGAGAGTCTCTTGCCCCATCCCAACATGTTCCTTATAGACAGTTACTTTAATGGTGTCAGCTTTTCCTTCTTCTGGTGGCTACTTTCATATTTCTAAGTAAAAGGCTTATATTGCTGTTTCTTGGTTTACTAACCCTATATATTGTGTGTGTGTGTGTGTGTGTGTGTGTGTATTTTGTTTTTCTTGTTTTTTGCTGTGATAGATGAGCATTTGGCTCAGTTCATCCCCTTTCTTTCCTCCTTCTTCCTAATGTATTTATTTCATTCATTTTAATTCCTCTTTGGAGGAGAATATCTTTGTAACTTATAGTTAAACTTTTATTACTTGTTCCTCAGCTCTAGGTAGTATCTCTTGTCCCCCAACCTTAGAAGATGGAGATAGTAGTGTCCCTTCCTGTCCTTCAGTGTGGGCAAAGCCAAAACTAAAAGTATATGTTCAGGGGAATTCCAAGAGAAAGAGATGATTCACCTGCCCCCAACCTTAGAGAGTCTTAAGAATTGGCAGCATAAGGTGTGATACAGAGCCATTGTGAGACAGGGGTATAGACTGAAGTTTGCAAAAGGAACTGTCATCCCCCTTCCTGGTGCACACAACATTTTTGCTCAGATGCCGGCTGCCCCGGCAAAAGTCTAGATGTTTATTGTCTGAAGAAACCAAACCAAACCTGGAAAAAAAGATCCCAATATACTGACATTGTGGTTCATCTAAGGAAAAGACTTGCTGCCCCGGTGAATCACCCACAAGTGATGCCTTCCAGTAAGCAAGCCTCAACCATGTGCATAGTATTCCTGACTAGTGCTGAACTGTTAAAGACAGGCACAAAAAAACCCCAAACAAACAAAACCCAAAACTTTGGAGAGGTATGAGTGTGGAGGGGAGAGGAATAGATTAAAAAAGGTTGGCAAAATAGTGATAATTATTGAAGCCAGGTGATGGGTACATGGGGAGCTCATTATACTGTTCTTTCTTCTTTTGTGTACATTTATAAATTGCCCAAATAAAATGTTCTTTAAAAAAATTTAAAGCACACCATTGAGAATCTCTAGACAAATAAGGAAAGTCTCCAGTTTGGAAACTAAAAATAAGAAAAAGAAATCAGGAAAACAGCTAATAGAGTAAAGTAAAACTTCATAAGCACTTACTACTCTGTGAGATATGAGAAGGTATTGTATTCATAAAGCAGAACAGGATGTCATGAAAAAAGAACTATCAGAGGGCTTCCCTGGTGGTGCAGTGGTTGAGAGTCCGCCTGCCGATGCAGGGGACGTGGGTTCGTGCCCCGGTCCGGGAAGATCCCACATGCCGCGGAGTGGCTGGGCCCGTGAGCCATGGCTGCTGAGCCTGCGCATCCGGAGCCTGTGCTCCGCAACAGGAGAGGCCACAACAGCGAGAGGCCCACGTACTGCTGAAAAAAAAAAAAAGAACTATCAGAATGAAAAAGAGCTCCTGGGAATTTAAAACTCTGATTGTCAAAGTTTGAAGATTAATAAAAGGATTAAAGATAAGAAATCTCCTAGAAGGTAGGACAAATAAAGAACAGTAAATATGAGATGATAAAAGACATAAAGGAGTAATCCATCTAAAGTCTTGGTAACAGGAGTTCCAAAAAGAGAACAGAAAATAAAGAGGAAGATATGATCAAAGAAATAATAGAAGAAAAATGTCAGATTGAAGGACACTGGTGTCCAGATTAAAAGGTATCCGGCACAGTGAATGAAAAATGTGCATACTGTGGTACATCATCTTGAAATTTCAGATTATCAGGAACAAAGAGGATTCTAAAGCTTCTAGAAATAAAATAAAATCATGTACAAATAATGAAGAATAAGAAAAGCACCAGGCTGTTCAGTAGCGTTACTGGATGTGAAAATGGGGCAGTACTTTCAAAATTCTGAGGGAAATCAATTTCTAACCCAGAAGTCAGTAGTCAAAGTATCAATCAGTTGTAAAGACAACATAAAAATATTTTTAGACATATAGATATACAATCAAAAGCCCATCCCTGACCTGGAGGAAATAGAACAACTAAAAGCCTCTGTCAGTGGCATGGAATAAAAAGTTGGGGAGGAAGGAGCCTGCTCTAGATTAAAAGAACAACCTTTGAGTCACTTTTGGAGTCTGAATCAATCAAACCAATTGTAGAAAAAAAAATTTGGTGACAATTTGGAATTTGAATATAAAATGAGTATTAGAGGAAACCAAGGGGTTTCTTCTTCTTCTTCTTCTTTTTTTTTTTTTTTTTTTTTTTTTTTGGCGGTACGCGGGCCTCTCACTGTTGTGGCCTCTCCCGTTGCGGAGCACAGGCTCCGGACGCGCAGGCTCAGCAGCCATGGCTCACGGGCCCAGCTGCTCTGCGGCATGTGGGATCTTCCTGGACCAGGGCATGAACCCGTGTCCCCTGCATCGGCAGGCGGACTCTCAACCACTGTGCCACCAGGGAAGCCCTATTCTTGTTTTTAAAGTATGATAATGGCATTGTGATTATATAAGAAAATGTCCATATTTTTAGAGATGTGTAGTGAAGTATTCAGAAGCGGAATTACATGATGTCTAGGACATGCTTTATTTATTTTTAAAAATTTTTACTGGAGTATAGTCGATTTACAGTGTTGTGTTAGTTTCAGGTGTACAGCAAAGTGAATCAGTTATACATATACATATATCCACTCTTTTTTAGATTCTTTTCCCATATAGGCCATTACAGAGTATTGAGTAGAGTTCCCTGTGCTATACAGTAGGTCCTTATTAGTTATCTATTTTATATATAGTAGTGTGTGTATGTCAGTCCCAAGTCTGGGATATGCTTTAAAATGCTTGAGCAAAAAGAGATGGGTGGGTTAAACAGATTTGGCCGTATCTGGTTAATAGTTGAATCTGGATGATGGATATATGGAGGTTCACTATACTATTCACTGTTTTTGCATTTTTGAAAATTTTCATCATAAGATGAAAAATTCTTACGCATCACCGGCCACTAGTTTAGCAAATTCTAAAATGCTGACTTGGGGGACTTGGTGGTCCAGTGGTTAAGACTTAGCCTTTCAGTGCAGGGGGTGCGGGTTCAGTCCCTGGTCAGGGAGCTAAGATCCCACATGCTTTGCGGCCACAAAACCAAAAACATAAAAAAGAAGCAATGTTGTAACAAATTCCGTAAAAGACTTTTAAAAAATGGCCCACGTCAAAAAATATATTTAAAAAATAAAATAAAATGCTGACTTGGGAAGGTAAACATAGGTATCTATCTGGCTTTCTGCCTATGGTACTTTCACAGAAGGGAACACTGTGTAGCCATTAAAAAGCATGGGGCAGATCTGCATCGATTGAAGTAGATTAATTTCCAAGTTATATTGTTTAGTACAAAAAGCTAGGTTCAGAGCACTGTGTATAATCACTGCCTGCTGT